TTTTTCCAGAGTGGTTGCACTAGCCTGCATTCCACCAGCAGTGTACAAGGGTTCCTTTTTCCCCACATTCTCACCAACACCTGTTGTTGCTGGTGTTTTTGATGATAGCTATTCTAACAAGGGTGAGGTGGAATCTTAGTGTGGTTTTGATTTGCATTTCCTTTATGGTCAGAGATGGTGAGCATTTATTCATGTGTTTTTTGGTCATTTGAATTTCTTCTTTTGAAAAGGTTCTGTTTAGTTCACTTGCCCATTTCTTTATTGGCTCATTGATTTTGGGAGAGTTTAGGTTTTTTTTTATTGTTTTATTATTCATATGTGCATACAAGGCTTGGGTCATTTCTCCCCCCTGCCCCCACCTTCTCCCAAGAGTTTAGTTTTTTGAACTCCCTGTATATTCTGGTTACCAGTCCTTTGTCTGATGTATAGCTGGCAAATGTTTTCTCCCACTCTGTGGGTGGTTTCTTCAGTTTAGAGACCATTTCTTTCGTTGAGCAGAAGCTTTTTAATTTTATGTAGTCCCATTTGTCCATCCTTTCTCTTAGTTTCTGAGCTGCTGGGGTTCCATTGAGGAAGTCCTTGCCTGTACCTATTGCTTCCAGACTATTCCTTGCTCTTTCCTGTACTAACTTCGGAGTTTTGGGTCTGATATTAAGGTCCTCAATCCATTTTGAGTTGATACTAGTACAGGGTTATAAACATAGATCTAGTTTCAGTTTTTTTGCAGGCAGAGAACCACTTTTCCCAGCAGCATTTGTTGAAGAGGCTGTCTTTTCTCCATCGTATGTCTTTGGCGCCTTTGTAAAAAATAAGGTGGGCATAGCTGTGTGGATTCATATCTGGGTCCTCTATTGTGTTCCACTGGTCTTCATGTCTGTTTTTGTGCCAGTACCATGCTGTTTTTATTGCTATTGTTTTGTAATATAGTTTGAAGTCGGGTATTGTGATACCTCCAGCATTGCTCTTTTTGCTGAGTATTGCCTTGGCTATTCGCGATCGCTTGTATTTCCAAATGAACTTTAGGAAGACAGCAAAATTTCAGAGGAAATTACAAACTCTAATGCAAGAATCAAATCAAAGTTCAAGAAATGAAAACACTGTAAGTGAAAATAAGAACTTGATATTTAAGGCTAGCAGCAAGCTAGAGCCAACTGAAGAATTAGTGAACAGGAAGACAGGTAAGAAATATATCCAAAATTTAGCAGAGAAAAAAAAATAGATAGGGTAAAAGACATAGAGTACATAAAGAATAGGCCTAATATAATAGTAACTGGAGTTCCAAAAGGAGAGAATGGGAATGGGGTAAAATCAACATTAGGAAAGGTAATGTCAAGAACTTTCCAAAACTGATTTTATTTCTGCCAAAAAATTTGCACACACACACACACACACACACACACACACTGAAGAAACCCAGTTTGATTTTAGAAGAATCTTTTTTTGTTTGTTTTTTTTTTTTTTTTTTTTCAGTACTGGGAATCGAACCCAGGGCCTCATGCATGCCAGGCAAACACTTAACCACTGAGCCATATCCCCAGCTGTTTTGTTTTTTTGATAGCACTGGGGTTTTAACGCTAGGCCTCACACTTACTAGGCAGGCACTCTATCTCTTGAGCCACTCTACCAGCCCTAGAAGAATCTTAATCTACCCTGCTGGTAAATAAACTGCTAAAAAAAAAGAATCTAACTTCATAATAAATTGCTGATGATCAAAGATGCAAAGAAAAAAAACCTTAAAATAATTAGAATGAGAGATACATTATCAGAAGGAACAATGGAAGGTAATAGAATACTTTTTAATTTCTTAAAGAAAATAGCCATCAACTTAACATTTTTGTAAACTTTTTGTCCAAAAATAGAGAAGGAATAAAGATATTTTTTCAAGCTGGACACAGTGATGTGCACCTGTAGCCCTAGCTACTCACAGGATTGCATGAGCCTAGGAGCTCAAGACCAACCTGGGGAACAGCAAGACCACTATCTCAAAAAAAAAAAAAAGAACAACAACAAAAAAAAACACATATATTTCAATCAACCAAAAGCCAAGAGAGAATATCAGTCGCAGACTCACCCTACAGAAAATACAATCAGTCCTCCTTGTCCTGAGTTCTGCATCCATGGATTCAACCAACCACAGATTGAACATTTTTTAAAAATAAAAATGATAACAAAAAAATGATACAAAAACAAAAACAAAACCAACACCAGCTAACACCTATTTCTATAGCACTTACACATGTGGGAGCCTGGCTTGGAAAGTCGGCTGAAAGCACGTCCACACATGAAGGCAGCCCAGCACAAGTACAAAGCTCAGACCAGGGAAGACCATGCATGCGTGAGGTGGTCAGAGCCCAAGTGAGGTGAGAAGGCATCCACACGGAGTCTATAGAGCCAGGTAAAGAGTGTTTTCAAGTTAGGGTGAGAGGTGGTCCTGCAAAAAGATACAAAGACCACGAGGGATAAAAAAGGCACCCACATGGTTGGGGATAGTGGCTGATAGGCCAGCACAGAATGCTGGAACTTGTGCATAGTGAGTAGGGCTTCCTGTAGTGAGGTGTCCCCACACAGTGCCAAAGCACAGCAGGAAAGGCGGTCATCCATGTGAGACAGAGCACAGCAATAGCAATGGAGACCAATGACAGCAGGGTATATCAAATCAGGGATTTGCAATTACAGAATGAGAGAAATCAAGAATGTTTTCTTGTGATGGGTTAGAACTGGAAGTACTGATGTCAACATATTGTCTACCTCAGAGGGACTAGTAGAGACTAGGAGTTACAATATTTCCAAAGGAATGAGTGAAACTAGCACTCATTTAGCACTTTGTTGCTAAACACCATTCTCTAATAAAAAGGAACCAGGGATCCTGGGAAAAATAGCTGATTCCAAGCCTGAGGCAGGAAAAGTAGAATATGTACCTGGAACATTTTGTTACTGACAGCAAGAAGTGCTCAAAGAATGATGAAATTATGGCAAAATGTCCCACTTGAAGGGAATCCCACTGGCTAAACATGGGCTATTTTAAGCATTAGAAGAAAAAATAGTAAATGGTGGTTCATGCTTGCAATCCCAGTCACTCAAGAGGCTGAGGCAGGAGGATCTCTTGAGCTCAGGAATTCAAGGACAGCCTGGGCAACGCACTGAGACTTTGTTTCAAAAAAGAAGTAACAGAAGGTAGCCCACTGATTAAAACAGGAAAGCATGAACCCATTTGACTTAAGTAATACTAAATTCAAAGTTTGATGAGGACAGGATATTTACATAGTTTCAAAATACTGTTTACAAACACACTTGCTAATTATAAAGGTAAAACATTAATTTCAAACAATCCCTGAGCTCTGCATCAGGAGCCAGAGGTTTTAAACTTGACCCTGTCATTGACTTGGGTATGTGACTTGAACTGTATGTATGACCTCTGTGAGCTCTGGTCTCTGGGTTGCAGGCTGATTCAAGAATATGATCCCAGTCTCCTGCCACATACTTGACATACAGGATCTGTCTTATTCCTATAGACAAGGTTCCCAGTTCCAACTCTATCCCAACCAGCACTGCGACTTTGAGAATACCCCTGAACTTTTCCTAGATTTAATTTTGTCTTCTGTGCAATGAGGACATTTGGCCTATGTCTGAGGTCTCCACTGGCTACTTCCTCCCTGCTCCAAAGAAAAGAACTTTTAAGATGACACTACTGCCATCAATTCATGGTCTGCTTTGAAAGCACTGCTTTGCATGAAAATACACAGCCAACAGAGGAAACTAACCTGCTTCTAGCAAAGGACATAGCATTTTTGTTATTATTTCCAAGTTGCCATTGTAATGGGACATTTGGGTTAAGATATGGGTTTCAGAATCAATGATGGCGTACTCACTGGGCCATCCCCACTGGCCATGCCTGAACAGAAGAGACCAGCTCTTGATCTTTCATGTCCCTCTTCTTGTCGGGATTTAAATTAGCACACTTCTGTGAGAGGACCATAACATGTGCGTTACTCCTTATAAGTGGCATGAAGAGTAAAAGCTTCCCTTTCAAAAGAACCTAACTGTTCCTATTTAACAGCTAGCCACATCTTATGAAATAAGAGATGAAACCAGACACCAAATATCAGTGCTTGATGAGGAAGCATATCAGAACCTGCCAAGTGTCCAACACCTCCCTCTCTCCTCAACAATCCCAACTACCACCACCAAGGGAAGGAAAGTACCCTAGAAAGAAGACTGGCTGATCTGGGAACCAGACAAGTCCCTGCCAGATCTGGCACCTGCAGACCTAATCTATTTTAGGCCACTTTCTCCTCACAAACTATGCTTTAGCCACACTAGCCTCATTAAAAACACCAAGGGCCCAGTATGGTGGCTCAATCCTGTAATCTCAGCTACTCAGAAGGCAGAGATTTGGAGGATTGCAGTTTGGGACCAGACCAGACAAAAAAGTTCACAAGACCCCATCTCAATCAAAAAGCTCAGCATGGTGTGGCAGGCCTATGGTCCCAGCTACGCTAGTGGCAGAGGTAGAAAAATGGTGGTCTGAGGTCAGCCCTAGGCAAAAACACAAGACCCTATTCAAAAACTAACAACAGCAAAAAGGACACTGTACCACTTGAGTAACAAGTGAGAGGTCATGAGTTCAAACCCCAGTACCAAAAGAGAAAAACAAAAAGTGGCTTATCAGGGTTCTTATTCAAACTGCTCTCCTTACCTGATATACTCCTCCCTTCGCTACACCATCTTTCCCAGGACTGGCTCCTATGCTCCCTTCAGGTGTCAGCTTCACTGTTACCTCCTGAGAGAAGTAGGTTTGGTTGCTTTCTAAGTTCTTCTCCATCATTACATCTACTTATTTTATTAACCTTTATCACAGCTTGCAGAATGAACCTAGCATCAGTATGACTGCTGGGACACAGTAAATATCCATTACACACATGTTGAATGATCCAGTGAACATTTAGTAGTTTCCTATAGGCCTATTTGGGTGTTAGATTTCCAGGACCATAGTAACTCACCTTGTACGTAGGGCCCCATCTCTGGGTGCTCCCTGACACGCAGGGTATAGGACTTTTTTTTATCAGATTGCTTCAAAAGATCTCGCACACGTTCATTATAGATTTCTAGGAAACTAGAGACAAGAGGAGAAAGGCAACACAATTAGAGTTTGAAAAAAAAAAAAAAAACACTAAGAATCAGAAGGTCCAGTTGGGTGTCAGTGGCTCACACCTATAATTCTAGCTACTTGGGAGGCTAAGATAGGGAGGATAGCAGTTCCAGGAGAGCCCAGGTAAAAAGTTTTTAAGGTCCCATCTCAACCAGTAGCTGGGTGCCGTGGCACACACCTGTCATCCCAAACTATGCAGGAGGTAGACATCAGAGAACTGTGGTTACAGACCACCCCAGGCAAAAAAATTTGCAAGACCCCCACCTCAACAGAAAAAAATAACTGAGCATGGTGGCATATACTTGTCATCCTAGTAATGGCAGGGAAACCTAAAATAGGAGGATCATGATTCGAGGCCAGTCTGGGCAAAAAGCAAGACCCTATCTCTGTAATAACCAGAGCAAAAAGGGCTGGAGGCATGGTTCAAGCAGCAGAACTCTTGTCTAGCAAGCTCAAAGATGAGCTCGAACATCTGTACTGCCCTCCACCCCCTCCCTCCAAAAAAAGAAAAAAAAAAAAACCTCAGAAGGTTCTAGGTTCCTACTCCAGCTGTTATCACTGACCATCTAAGACCTTGATCAAGCCAGGGTTTTCCCTGAACATCTTTCAAGATGTGTACAACAAAGGATTGTGCACTGGCTAGCATCACATCACAGTTTTAGGTCTATAATGTCAGTGCTCATTTAAGATTAGCTCTCAAGGGGCTATTTCTGTATATTTTTCAGGGTATACTGCCAGTAGACTGTGCCCTGATCAAGCCTCCATGGAAGGATCTATCAAAGCTTTTTTTAGTGGTTTTCACAAGTGATCCTTCTATTGTCCTACAGATGCATCTCAAGGACCACTACTGACCAGCAGGGGAAGCTAAGTGAGAAAGCCCCAGTCTCTGCCTCTACTTTATTTAGGACAATTCTCATCTGTTTTATACACTGGGATTGTGTACAGATACACCCTATCATACAGGTATCTACTAGCATTCTATTCTCTTTATGATACAGTTATGGGTGGGGAGCATGGCTCCAGTAGTAGAGAACTTGCCTAGCATGCTTGAGGCCCTGAGTTCAAAGTCCAGTACCACCAAAATAAATAAATAAATAAATAAATAAGCAAACTGAGAGTGTAGCTCAGTGTCAGAGCATGAGGCCACAGGTTCAATCTCAAACACCATTAGAAAAAATAATAAAAACAGCAGGAAAGTGGAAGGAATTGGAGATCATCATGTTGAGTGAAATAAACCAAATTCAGAAAAACTCTGATTATATATTATACCAAATTAGAATTCATACATTTTGGAATATTATGAGTATCAAGTAAAAATTCTTCTATTTCTTTGGGGGAAAAAAGCCAAATAGCCCATGTTTTCACTTATATGTGGAATCTAACCTAAGATGATGATGAGGGTGAAAATAATAACCATAGGACATGAGTGTAGAAGGGAGATTGTTTTGGGAGGTATCGGTGAGAGGGTGAAAGGGGAGGTTAAAGAGGAATGAAGAGGATAAAAGTACATAATGAAACCCACCAAATACTGTTTAAAAATGGGAGGGAGGGGAGAAAAGAGGGGCATTAAAGGAATATAATAGAGGGATGAATTTATTCAAAGCACACTGTACACATCTATGGAATTACCACAGTGAAAGTCCCTGTACTATTAATGTGTGCTAACAAAAAAAAAGAAAAAAGGATCCAGTTCAAAGCCAAACTACTCCTAACTACCTCACAAATTTTTCCTAACCTTCTCCTATTGAAACACAGGAATCACAGCCATCTCTCAACATACCTGTTCCAGATTTTATGTATAACATTTAATATATATTTATACATATATACACACAGAGCTTCGTAAAATTTTTTTACAAACTTTAAAAATAACATTCATAATCATTTCAGTTTTAAGAAAGGTAATTGTTTTTTGGAAGGTGATGAAAATATTCTGAAATTAGATAGTGGTGAAAGCAACACAATCTTACAAATATTATAAAAATCACTAAACTATACACTTTCAAAAATTTTTGTGTTAAGTGCATTTTATGGCAAATTACATCTTAAGTTTTTAAAAGGACACTAAATACTTTTTTCAGGGTTTAAAGGGAATTGGTAACCTTACACCAACATTTTTCATAACAGATTGATTAAAACTTTGTTTTGGTTGACTGTCATAGAATGTGCCTATAATCTCAGCATTCAGGAAGCTGAGGCAGGAATATCATGAGCTTGAGCTACATAATGAGATGATGTCTCAAAAAACAAACAACAAAAACGATCTTGGAGCATCTACACAGACTGGGAACTAGAGTGTTAGTCTCCTACAGACTGATCCATTGGGAAGAAAAATCACAAAAGCTAATATGACACTATACAGAAAGGGAAACCAAACAACCAGTGTAACCTGCAGCACAGGAGAAATGTGCTTGCTAAGTTCAACAGTAGGGAGTTAAGTTTTCTATATCCCAAGAACCTAGAAAAATCTCTCACTCTCTGTACAAGATGTATCTCCTGTGGCTTTTCCCCATCCCTCTGATGACTCTGGAAGCAAACAGAGGACAGCTGAACATGCTAAAATTTGGAGTGAAACTAGAAGCAGCTCAGGTCCTGGAGCTGGAGAGGCTCTTACCTTACTTGTATCTTGCAAGAGGAATGCAGTGAGGCACAGTCTTCCTCTCTGATGAAGAGACCCTGCACAAACCAGAGGGTTGGGATTTCACTGAAGGGAGTGGGCAAAGGAGACCTACTTTGAGAAGATCTGGTCAAAAGAGAGTCTGTACCTCACATATCCGTGGTGTCAGCCCAACAGAGGCCTGGAGAACAGAAGAAAGGAAAATATTGTTTACTCTGGGCAGTGCTCTGCCCCACCCAACACCTGGAACCCTCCTAAGTATGGAACCTTTGTGTGAGCCTCTTTACTTTTGGGAGTTTCTCTAGAAGTATGCAGAAGACATGTGCCATTGCTCTCAACAGACACTTGTGGGAGGAATGTGCCTATGAGAGGCAGATTATCACAAGATGGAAGAGAAACTAGCAAACCTAGAGATTCAATTCCATGCAATGAAGCTCATCCTTCTCAGATAACCCCACTTTACTAGACACAGAAAGACTAGAGGACACGCATGTGCAAAATGTACATCTGAAGAGAAGTGGCTACTTTCTCAGCTTATACCCAGGTTAAGGGCTTTATCTCCCTGGCTCAGTGACAACTTCTTTTAATGTCAAATATGTGAAGCCACACTAAATAAACATAAAAAAGGAAGCAATGAACTGGCCCAAAGAAGTGGGAAAACCTTTCAGGAGGAACAGTGCCCTTGGCAATGTCCCTATACAATGTTATCTGTCATCACCACACTAGCTCATCTCACCACAATACTTCTAAGACCTAAAATCAAGAGGGATAGTACTTCTAACACTAAAATAAAGGAATGCTGCTCACCCAATTTTCCATGATAAAGGAAGGCTCTCACTAAACCCTACGTACTTTTGAAAGCCTCCAACCTAGAAGTTAGTTCTTCTGCTTCCTTCGAACACAGAGATCTGACTTATATATCCATTCAACTTGGCCACAAATTTCTGCACAGTCCAAGCCAGTATTAAAGACAATGTGGGATTCAGGTTTGCTGTGCCATTAGAAAGGTACTCACTGGGGTCCCCAGCATGGTATATGTCTTCCCAGAGCCTGTCTGCCCATAGGCAAAAAGGCATATGTTGTAGCCTTTGGCAGCTCCAGATAGCACTTCAGTCCCCAAGTCCTGGAACACCTGTAGCAACAAAAGCAGAGAGCATGTCATAGGTCCTTCTTCCCACAGAAGATTTATACTTATTATTGTTATTATTTTAGTGGTACTGAGGTTTGAACTCAAGGCTTCAAGCTTCCTAGGCAGGCACTCTACCACTTGAACCACTCCACCAGCCCTTTTTTTATGTTTAGTATTTTTAAGATAAGGTCTTCCTTTTTGCCCAGGCTAGCCTTGAAACACATTCCTTCCAATCTCTACTTCCCAAGTAGCTAGGACTACAGGGGTGAATCACTGGTGCCCAGAGGATTTATAACTATTTTTAATCTAAAAATTATAAACTATTGACTATAAATTTCTATCATATCCTAAGAACGAATTCAACTTCACAAAAAGAGGTTAGGGGGCTGGCAATATGGCTCAAGTGGTAGAATGCCTGTCTAGGAAGCTCAAAACCCTGAATTCACCCCCCAGCATCACCACACACACACACTAAGAAAAAAGAACGAAAGAAAGAAAATTCTGTTAGTCAATCATTCAAATATTTTTTAAAGCACCTTCTCTATGCTGGCCATAATACTAGCCATTGAAGATACGAAAATTGTATGGTTCCTATTCTAAGGGAATGAGTCTAGAAGAAGGACAAAGACATTCAGGCAAAATCATTCTTTTTCCCTCTCATAAGAAAATGTTTCTGTGGTTAAATGAACAAAGCTACAGTGAGCTGGGTGCCAGTGGCTCACACCTATAATCCTAGCTACTCAGGAGGCAGAGGTCAGGATGACTTCAGATCAAAGCCAGCAAAGGCAAATACTTTGTGAGACCCTATCTCTAAAATATCCAACACAAAAAAGGTCTAGCAGAGTGGCTCAAGTGATAGAGCAAGCATGAGGCCCTAAGTTCATGAGACCCTGAGTTTTTGAAGTTGTTTTTGGCCCAGTACCACCATAAAAAGAAAAAGCTATAGAGAAACATTGTCCAATAACATGTAAATTCAAGGTCTCAAATAACCACAGTGAGAGTCAGTTAAGCTCAGAAGTTAGAGAGGGATTCCCAGTGAGTGCATTATCTCTATGCCCCCTCCTCACACTGCCTGTAACAGTTGGTCTTTACCTCTGTGGTAGTCAGTTTTTGTGAAAAAAATCAGAAACAGCCAGAAGTACTCATGTGAAAACGCCTATACTGTATGCACTGCCTGAAAGTCCTATTGAATTCAGATAGGCAGACCATGGTTTCAGGAGAAAACAGGCTTATGGAAAAACTGTAGCTTCCCAGTTCAACCAGGCCGCAGCAGAACGCATGTGGACCTCTGCATGCCCTGGATGGCATAGTGGACATTCACTCTTTGTATGCTTGTTCCTCACATCCAAACTCTCTTCTTACTTGGTGGACATCTTTGATTGTATCAGTCTGGGTGGGAAGCAGGGCCCAGCCTTCTACTACAGAAGCTAAGCAGGCCAAATACCCCTCTTCACTTCCTAGCAGCTAGAACAACGACGTGAAATGAGGCCTGTCAACTATGGAGATGCTCCCACTTGAATTTGAAAGAAATAGAAACAAAGCCAACAGTTGATCAATTCCTCAAGAGTCCAACAGTGTGCCCAGCATACAGTAGTAGAAGTGCCAAATGCAGTGCTCAAATCAAACTATTCTCTGCTAGGATTCTGTCTGGGCTCCCTGCTACCTAGGGTCCCACTGCTTCTCTGCTCACTTTTTAACTTTCCTTTCAGTTGTCAATCATCCCGAATGGTTCCAAATTGTAGCATGGTTCTTATACTTTAAAGCTGTGTGATCCTGGGCAAGTCACTTAAATTTTTTTAAGTCTCAGTTTCTCTAGCTATAAAATGGATATTTTGTGTCTATATCATAAACACTGTTGTGAAGATTAAGTGAGGTCAGACACAAAACTAGGGACAACAGGGACAGAGGTAGGTGTTGCTAAGTAAAGACTACACTACTTGTTCTGTGTTTTAGCAGCTGCAGTTACCCAACTTGGCCAATGAAGTGTTTGTTTGGTTTGGTTTTTAGTGCTTCCAATATTATGGCATAGGGTCAGAAGAACCCAGGGTGCAGAAAAAGACATGGGCCTGTGCAATTCCCACTCCTACCCTCACAGTCTCCCTCCTTTGCAGCTCTTTCCATCCACTAACTCTATGTTAGCAAAGCTGAAAATTGGGCAAGATTCTATTGGCCCCCTGAAATCTGGCTGGGTGAAATTCCCAGAGTCTGAAGAAAGAGCAGTGTATTTCTCTGCATTACACCAGTTGAGTTGATTGCCATTCATTTACTAGTTAGAAAATCTTTCCAAAAACTCCACCTTTCTTTCTACTGTTCCCACCTCCTGCTGGGGCAGAAGTACAGACAGAGCAGGGCCGTATCTTCCCACAGTTTGTATACAGCTGAGCAGAGTAAGAATTGCAAGAAAAACAAAAGGGCTGGGCATGGTAATGTACCCCTATAATTCCAGCTACTCAGGAGGATCATGGTTTGAGGTCAATCCAGACAAAAGTTAGAGAGACTCTATCTGAAAAACAAGCTGGATGTGATGGTATATGCCTATGGTCCCAACTATTTGGGAGGCCAAGAGGGAAGGAGAGAGCGAAGGATGGCAGTTTGAGGCTGGGAGGGGGTGGTGGAGCATGAAACCCTATCTGGGGAAAAAAAAAACTAAAATAAAAATAACAAAAATCTAAAGGACTGGGGTGTGGCTCAAGTGGTACAGCACTTAAGTACAAGGCCCTAAGTTCAATCTTCAACACTAAAAGAAAACAAAAGTTACTTTGTTCATGTCTTTATCCAAATTCAAATAATTACCTAGAAATTTCATGAAAATATCTTTGAAGATACCATTTTCCTTCAACCAGTAAAAGAGACTGTCAACTGGCAAAACCCGAGGCTCCAAACCTAGTATTGGTGGAAACTGGTAATAAACAGTTGCCACTCTTCAAGAACCATGGCATTTGTAATGGTAAGTTCCCAGAAGGCCCACGGCCTTAGGTGGAGTATCACAAAGCCAGATCATGCCATGCTCCATTCTCCTAGTCATAGTACAATGAAGCACGTGGAATAATTCACTGGGAGTGCCAAGCCCAGTTTGAAGGCTAAAGTAAGTCACTAAATGGCAATCTGAAGCTACAGGGTTGAGTTCAGGACCTTTTTCCTGGAGTAGAAGTAGGAGAAGGTGTTAGACTGTATATAATATAGCACCACTAGGCTTCTAAAGTTAATACACAGACATTCCACTAAATGCTGCTGTATGGGACCCCCAAACATGAAGTCAAACCAAAAGTGCTAAGATATTAAGATTTAAAAAAAAGTTTTCATGCCAGGTATACTAGTACATAGCTGTAATACCAACATTCAGGAGGCTGAAGCAGGAGAATTATAATTTGAGACCAGCCTGAGCTACACTGTGAGACCCTTGTCTCAAATCAAATCTGATTTGATATCTTACCAAAGAGTATATATAGATAGCAAATAAGTATATGAAAAGATGTGACACTCAATATCCTATATTAGGAAATCACAAATTAGAACAGTGAGACACCAATGCACACCTATTAGAATGGTAATAATCCACAATTCTGACACAGCAGTTGGAGAGGATGGGGAGCAACAAAAACACTCATTCACGGCTGGTGGACGTGCAAGATGGTGTGGGCACTTTGGGAGACAGTTGGGCAGTTTCTTATAAAACTAAACATACATTTATCATACAGTCCTGCAATCTCATTCGTTGGTATCTATCCATAGAGCTTAAAAACTTATGTGTGTACCAAAACCTGCACATGGATGCTTATAGCAGCCTTATTCATAACTGCCAAAACTTGGAAGCAACCAAGATGTCCTTCAATAAGTGACTGGATAAATAATCTGTGATACAAATTTAACACTAAAAAGAAATGAGCTAAGTATGGGCTGGTAGCATGGGTTAAGTGGTAAAGCGCATAGCAAGCACAAGGCCATAAGTTCAAACCCCAGTACCATCACAGAAAAAAAAAAAGAAAGAAAGAAAGAAAAAAAGAAAGAAGCTATTAAGCTATGAAAAGATATAAAAGAATCTTAAACACATATTACTAAATGAAAATCTGAAAGGCAATACATGGTATGACTCCAACTAAATAAAATTCTGGAAAAGTTAAAATTATAGAGTTAATAAAAATATCAATGGTTGCCAGAGGTTAGGGGGAGAGATGACGAGGCAGAACACAGTATTTCTAGGGCAGTAAACTATTCTATATACTTCAGTACATACATGCCATTATACATCTGTCAAAACCCACAGTGCACAACACGAAGTGTGAACCTGAAGGTAAAGCATGGAGTTTGGATGATAATGACATGTTAGTGTATGTTCATAGGTGGTAATTAAATGTACAACTCCAATGTGGGATGTTGTTAGTGGGGGCGGTTGTACATGGGAGAACTCTATGTACTTTCTGTTCAATTTTGCTATGAACCTAAAACTGCTCTAAAACAGTCTATTAAAAAATTAATTTCAACCAGATAACTCTTAAGGAATAGACCTCCCTGATTATTGGAGAGATATCAGCAACATTACCAGACATGCCCTGCTTTTTTGGAGCCAAGTTCTCACTATATTGCCCAGGCTAGCCTTGTACTTGCAATTCTCCTGCCTCAGCTTTCTGAGTGCCACCATGTCCAACCCCAGACATGCCCTTGTTAAATCCAACTAGAATCATCTCTGGATTTCATAATAACTGTTTAAGACCCAAGAACAATGGTTGGTCTATATTTTCCTAAAGGAATTTTTCATTTACAGGGATTTTTTTGTAGGTGTGTAATTCTATTATATATTATATTCTCTATCCCAAGTAGACACATAATAAAAATAAAAATGAAAAACATGACTCCAATTTAGGATGAGAAAGGTTTAAAATAACTAAATAAATATTGATCTCAAATGTAGCTATCAGAAACTCAAATGAGTGAGAACTAAGAGGGACATTTCAAGGTTTTTAGTTTAAAAAGACTAGAAGCTGGAAAGTGTTTCGAGACAACTG